TGGCAGCCGCCATTGCACAACAGGGTACTTCTACTGTTCCTCGTCGACTCATCCAGCACTCATTTATTAGCACGAGTAGTGGCAATCGTTATCGGTGAGTACCTTGGCTAGCATGCTTGCACTGACTCACTTGGTATCAATTCATCTACGCACACACCTCAGGTGAAATGTTTTTTTCCGGGCAACTAGTGTTGCTCCACTGTTCAGATGGTAAATTAGTAACGTCAAAAGTTCAGTGCGCACTTTTATCTAATGTATGTATATCACATACCCCTCGTTGTTAGTTGTAAAAGAAATGTTGTCCACCTCTACGTTAGTTGGATGCCGTCCTAGTTTAGTAAGAATAGCACGAATTCAGTCGAAATAAACATTGGCAGAACGTTGGTTACTTTAGTTTGTATCATTGCCGTGGTATTTTTTCCAAGAGATGTAAGTTGAGCAGATGAGAATAATTTCCAAATGTTTCATGACTCCACTCGATTGTTTTTCACTTTTTCGTGATGTTTTTGTCGCCACTTCTCTCTATTTGTTTTGTGATCCGGGAGTAAAATAATGATAGTGAATGTTTGTGTGCATGGCAGTAAGTAGATGGGTGGGAGATCATTTCACAGGTTCACTTTAAACGTATCACAGTGTTATGAAGGGTTTTGTTAGGGAGACCGGTAACTTAAGCTCTTGTGTTTGGAGTTTTTTTATATTACACACCAGTGTGTGATGAACAGCAGATATGGCAAACCCCACAGTCACGAAAACCTGCTGTTCAGTGGAGTGCGAAACCCCTCTACAATTGTGGTATTCACCTGGGCAACAAGAGGGCTATCTACCACTAATGTTTTATTTGAAGGTTTATTGTTGTTAGTAAGTCGGTCGATTTTAGAATACATTCCAGGATTTAGCCGTCTTGAAGAAAACAGATGATAAAAACGCACGGCGCGAAGCCTGATGGGCAATTTGCTAGTTGTGGGATTGTCGGTTTATGCTCCCGATCGCGGTGTTTATCAATTTATGGAGAAAACATTCTGGATCACGTCAAATTCAAGTTCGCTGGTTAGGACACGTTTCGCGCATGACTAACGGTTGCCTATTGCACTGTGCCTCATTCACCGTTGTTGCCTAATGTTGAAGAAAAAGACATAGAGACCAATAGATGACACGGAAACGAGACATGAAGAAATGCACAACCACCAGGTAGATTAGGTGTTTTCTGTCTTCCAATTTGAGAACTCATGGCCTCTGTGACCGGTTGGTTGGGTATAATGGAAGATATGGCAACTAACCGGCAGCAGTAGCCGTTTTGTAGTCACTTCTTATCCGGCTGAAATGATTGGACAACTGTGTGTACACAGTTCAATTCTGTGGTTTGTTTGTTGACCATCGCTGTTCATTTTTCCTGCCTCACTCTAAGTAGGCTTACTCCCTGTGCATCTTGCTCATTGCCAGCTTTGCAGTGTTGGATGAAGTTCACTTCACTCCACAGTACGTTGATGATGATCATAGTCGGTTGGAAAACTCTAGCACAGTTAAACTACGTAAACTTGATTGGCTAAAAAACATTCTACTTTCGGTAAAACCCATCACACCGAACTCCGAATTCGAGAATCCTGTTTTTTACCGTACCAATATTCACTGGGAAAACGGCTCAATCTATGTACCGAGCTATTTCTCCTCGCTACTTTATTTTGGTAGCCACTAACGAAAATCAATGTCTCCCCTCTAATCATGGATACAACTATCTTACCGAACCCCATGGGTTCATTTCACACCCTTTTCTCTCACAGGATTTTACCTCAGAATATCTGTCAGACAGCCAGTGTTCGTCCCGCCGCTGGATCACGNAGCGTAGATCGGGGAGATCACGTCGTCGTTCAAGCGATGAAGATGATGACGAATCTGACGCTGGGGGCAAATGTGAAGATGACGATTCAGATTATAATCCGGCTGATGAGTACGATAACGGACGGTAAGCGGTAGCAACCTTATCATTCACCGGTACCTTTCTGATCGACACAGTCTTTTTTCAGTCCGTCTCAAATAGTGTGATACTGTTTAGTATTCTCAAACAAATCTGATCGGATAATATTCCCGTTTAGTTTTTTCTCAAACCTTTATTCGACACCATGTGGTCGCTGTGCGTATTTTTACCATCCATTTTTTTCACTGTCGCCTAATTTTCCCTCTTCAGGTCCTCTGAAACTCCTTGTTTGACGGTAAAATCGTTCAGTGTGTAAGAAAAGAACAAAGGGAGTGTTGACACTAACGCACAGCGGGGACTTGTATGAAACGTAATTAAGACCGAAAGAATTATCCAGACGAAATTCTCCGTGATTAATTACATAGGGAAGGTAAAAGCTGCAAGGTCAACTGGGCTGACAGTCACGCAATCTGGTGTTAAAACTGTTCGATTACTTTAGGTTCGAGTGGAGTTTAGTTCAGTCTTTAGAGTCATTGACCATGTTTGGTTGCGCGTTTGGATAATGTGGTTGAAGGTAGACTGAAATGCTCCGAACAGATTTTAAAGAAGATACATAATTCACATAGACTGTTGTAAGAATAATCACTAGATGCACGAGCGCCACTGTTTGAGGCACTCAGCCATATCGCTCAATGCCTCTAACCACCAGTAATGATAATCCTGCTAGTCCCAATTCAGGAAGCGTAACGCAACCTACATCACCGAGTCTTCTGGTTAGGGTCCTAGTTTAACAGCCATTGACTTTTTTCATCTGCCACCTGCTTCGGCAGACATCGCGCGCCGCGGCAACCTGTTGGGTGACGTGCGCAACACGTCTTAATCGGGACACTGTGGAGTTCGACCACTTGCTCCATTGAAGGATTGCGATTCTCCTAAAAACTTGCGTCTAACCTCAGTACTACTCGTCCAGTTTCCCCACCAGACAAATCCACTGTAGTGTAGGCAGTGGTCTATCTTTTTTCCTGTTTCCCTAATGCCAAATCTCAGCAGCGTCAAGTAGCACCAGCTGAACTGCTGCAGTATACACTGAACTCGTTACAGATGTCACACGTTGGGAATTACCAATTGAGTCTTCTGTATGCGTGCTGAAATTTCATACTTGATGCGTCCGCCAGTTGCGAATTAGCTTCCCTATTAACAAAATTTCTTTACTCTAGGATTTTCCTAGTGATAGTGAGGTTAGAGGCCTTGCCAACCCAGTACTTTAATACTTTACACTTTGGAAGTGCAGAACACAGTTGCATTAGTACTCAAACCATCAAGATGAATCTGCAATATACCCGGATCTTCAGTTGACAGTACAATATCGTTTGTGTTCTCCACTTCAAACAGTCTACCAGAGTATAGGTCGGTCGACTGAATCGAAAGCAGCTTTCAGCTTGATGGAGACAGAAATAGTAGATCTACGGAATTGATGTCTGTATTCTCAATCTTGGCGAAGATCGAAAATGTGCTCGATATAACCTCGACCAGGTATGGAACCAGCCTGATTCTCATGCTAGCACTATTTTTATTGCGGCAGACAATCAACTAGTATGATACCAAAATAAAGTTCGGATATAATGTCGATTACACTAATTCCTCTTTAGGAATCTGTCGCCTTACTTTCAAACTCGAATGAGTCCTCTGTCATTCAAATCATTGCTCAATAATCTTTTCAACCATTAACTGGGTCCATGAGTTGTTCTTTGATGAAATATTCTATGTAAATAGGATCGTATTATTTTAAATTGTCCTGAATAGCAGAGACCGAATCCGATAATCTACTATGTTTTCTACGTATGCATTTTTTGGACTGTGCTATTACACAGATCTCTCGTTCATTTATCTGCTATCACAGAGGTCGACAACTTCGTCGCAGTGCGCGCAAACAGCGTGCTGCTCGTCTCGATCCGGATTTCGTTGCTGACTTCGACGACGAGGATGAGGATGAAGGTGACACAGCAGGGCGTCGAGAACGTCGACGAAATCGTCGCTCGGACGATGACGACAATGCGGCAAGTGGTAATGATGACGAGATTGACGATGATGATCTGGAATCTGGTCCTCAACCACGAGTCCGCCTACCTCCGCCGCGTATCATTCGCTTGCCACAACTTGACGGCGCTACCGATTCTGTCACTACCAGTGACGAGGATGCTGAGGTCCAAAAATCCCCACTAACAGAAGATACTCTGAAGTCGGATTCCCAGCCGCAGAGTGCTTCAAATGGATCTACACCTCCAAAAATTCCGTGCCTCGACAATGCCAACCAGTTCGTGAGTGCCGTGTTTCGCTTTCGACGTTGATCTCAAACAAGTAGCTGTCGTTATTGGGTCGTAGGTTGCTGAGCTACCGTTCAGTTTATTTCCACGCCTGTGTTATTGTCTTCCGGTTTGTTTCTACAGTCCAGATCATGGGATTTAAAACGGTGTACTTCACACTCGTTTACAAGCTTCTTAATAACAAAGGAATCTATGCATGACTAATTTACTGATTCAACGAGGCTAAGTTGCTCAAACAACGTTAACCAATATCTAAGGTATTCGCTGTGGGAAATCTCAATCCACCCAGTTATTCGGTTCTTATTTCTCTAAAACACAATTCACTCCTCTAAAGTGTCTACTGTTCTCCATCTTTTCGAGACCCCTAATTGGTCAAATTGGAAAAGACCCACCTGTATTTCTCCGTTTTTAGTTACTGCGGCCGCAATAGATTATCAGTGATTGCAAATCTCCATCATAGAGATTGACTGCTAACTGAAAACCAACAGTGATAAATATGGAATTTGATTTGGGCTTTTTACAATATGGTTATTTCGTCTGGTCTCAGAGATACTGCGGCAGCGGTACTTGCTAGCAGTACCGAGAAAAAATTTTGTGTTTGAAGTGTGTCGCTGTAGAACAGACCTTTACAACGCGCAGATTTGTTTGCAAATATCCATCTACTCTTGGTTTGCTCTCTCATTTGTGTCGTTTTTACTCCTTGACGCATCTGAGGTTGAGTGGAGGAGGACATTTGGATCAGCTATAAGTAGTAGTTTCGATTGGTGTTGGTTTTCTCTTTCCCGCAAGATGTTTCAGAGTTTCTGGTTAGATTTCACTCATGTGGGTCCACCTCTTGTCTACTTACCAGCGCACGATGTTTGATAAGTTGGTTTGGTCTCTTCACCTAATCTGTTTCTGTTCTCTTTCTTCCTCAGATCTCAAAGCCAAACGTGCTTGCACCGAAAACCCCGGCGATAATAAATCGCATTGTCCGACTAGTGCGTTCGGTTGACCAGCCAAATCCAACAAATTGTGGGTCAAATGTTGTTCTTTCACATCCAGAAATCGAGTCCGAAACAGGATCCACTGGTATGAAAACTTATTACGGATTAACTTAACAATCGAAGTTTGATATACCTGATTTTGAAAGATGTGTGATGCTATGGTTTCGAAGCTTGTTTTCTGTGATTAAATTTGGCTAGAGCTTATTTTTGGTCGTTTGTGAGGTGGAGACTTTTAAACAGTTTTACCGAACGGCTGGCATATGTTATATTAATACGTCAACTGTAATCCGATTCCGCACCATTGAATTAAGAATCAAGTGGATATATATGCATATATACATATGTGTGTCCGAACCTCACCACTACCGTCCAACTCTTCCTATTTCTTTACATCACATAACAGCTCTCGTCCGTATCCCTCTTTCCTGCAAAATTGATTTAAACATTACGTAGTCTATGAAAGGGATTAGGAAAAACAAAAAAGAGTACTTATCACTTGAATTTGCAGCATGGTCAAAGTATTTATCATCCACGTAGATTGACAATTCTGAATATCGAAACAAATTGTTTCACCTTAACCGCATGCTCATGTTGTGTGCTTCTTTCAACGTAACTTTTCATTGTGTACCATGTAGGTATCTCGATCGGGCTTTGTATCTGGTGGTGCTGCATAACTACGGTTCAGTTCTGGTGTTTTTCTTTTACATTGTCGCGAGTGATCGATATGGACGGTATTAGTGATCTTCAATTTATCATTTACTTCATTGAAAAAGCTTACTTGTTTGGAAGGTTATTCTGACCTTGGTCCACTTGAGTTCTCTATCCTCTCCGTGATACTAATTCTAGGATCCTCATTCTTCCCTCTATTATTTGACGTAAATGGGTAACTTAAAGACACTCACCAAAACAGCCGCACGGAAGTACAGATTTGTATAGACTGAAACTATGAATCCCGGAGAGTGGTTGTGATAGAATAACCGTGGTGAGATAAAGCGGTGATTGCGTGACTAATGTCTGGTCTGCAAAGACGGCCTGTATCGTTTTCATTTTCTTATTTTACCGCAATGAAATGTTCCCCAAGATTCTGACTGCCGTCGTCCAGTTCTCATGGTTTATAATTAAATTTTTCTTTTTATGTTCATGACAGGTGCTTCTTCGACTGCTGTCATCGCAGAGGGAAGCAAAGTCACCATGGAAGGATTACGATTCGTCATCAGTTCGACTAGTGCATTGAATACCCAGGTTGGTGGTTCGTAGCAACTTTTGTTTTGCTTTGATCGCTAGAAAATGAGTTTTACTAGTTACTTTTGTTACTGCTGCACAAAAATGTCATAAAGTAGCCCGGCTAAATACTACAGAGAAAGAAAGCCCTAATTGAATTTCGTCACCTGCTCCTCAGGAGATCTGCTTCTTCCTTTTTTCCTCCTGCGTTAACTGAACGGTCATAGCAAAGTATTCCAGACCGTTGCTTCAGTATGGTCGGGGGTGGACGTCTCGGGTTTTGGCTGGTCACCCTGTCTTGCACCTCACGAAATGCTCCTATACGACCAAGCGTAATACGAGTTTAGCAGCTATCAGTGAAGTTCGCTTCACTGCATTACGCGGCACGGGTAAGCGCGTGCACCAAAGCGGTTCAGAAAAGGTTATGCAAAAATCTTGGCCTCCACATCAAGTAAACTGATGCGTCTGTAGTTTTCACACCGATTTGTCCCTCTTTTTAGGGGTAGGTAGTAAAATTGATGTGGTCCACTCGTTTGAGCCAGTGGATTGCAAATATTCTTCTATTTCTTATTTAGCTAAATTTATCACCAATCCGAAGGTAGTTTTATCTGATCTAAGCACTGTTATCCTGAATAGAAGTTTTTAATGTTAGTGATGTTACTGTTGTTTATATTGCTTATATCGTTCACTGCACTATATTGGTTGATCAGATTGCCTGTTAAAGGGCAGAACTTACAGCCAACCCCTATAAGTAGCAGTTTAATACTTGTAGACAGTGGACTACAAACAACGGCGTATTTGTATTGAATGCAACGAAATTCCAGGGATCACGTGTGATTTTTAAGTGATGCGTCATTCAGTTATAACTTTTCTCCGGCATACACTGCAAACATGCAGATCAGTCCACAACACTGCAAAATCGGGCGGAAACGTAAACTTTAAATTCCCTCCCCACTTTTTATTACACACTTTCGTGTAATGAACAGCAGACGGGGTAAACCCCATAGTCACGAGGACCTGCTGTTCAGTGATGGAAACCGGTAACCTAAACTTCCACTCGCCCAGTTTCTTCTGGTGTCCTGCAAGGTGCAATATTTTCCCCATATTTCTTTTCTATGTATGTCAAACAACTTCCCATTCCTACTGCATTCATTGGCTGTAAATACACTGATGACGTTGTCATAGGTTGCAAAGCATCCACCCCGGAAGAGGCTTCCGAAATTCAAAACAAGCTGAATGACGTTATCACTTGACCCTTGTCCCGTTCACTCTCGTTGAATGCCCCTAAATGTCAGGATGTTGTGTTTTTTCTCTTGGCCGATGTACCATATTCAACCCTTACAGATAGGTTCCCCACCCTCTGCAAATCAACAACCCCTACCGAAATCAAAAATAATAAATTCCTTGGCGTCATCCTATCACACAATTTCTCATGATCACTGCACGTTCAAAACACATTCTGTAAAGTCGAAAGCTTTCATATTTCTCACTCCGATTGAGATTACTTTCTGTTCCCCACAAGCTGATTGTTAGATTTGTGAATGCATGTGTGCTACCCCCACTGGTTGCATTGCTCCCCGGTGATTTTTCCCGGTATGTTGAAGAAAGACTTATTTACTGGCGAGATCCCTGAAACACATCTCCAGAATACTCTCAGACGCTCACCACCCATTACACAATGAATTTTCAAAAGCCGCATGTACATCACACGCTCACGATTTAGACTTTTATTTACACGTACCTGTGCTTATCGCAATTCTGTTCTGTCATATCTAGCACGTCTACTTATAGACAAGGACAGAATTGCGCAACCGCTTCCTTCATTGACAAGCACCTCATTGCTTTCAGTTTCATTATGTAATGATTTTGTAAATTTCAATCCACAAATATGGTGTAGTTACTGAAAATACATCCATCCGGGTGCATAAAGCTACTACTGACTTGACTTGACTTGGAGTGGTAAATCACATAAGGCCCCGATAGGTTAGGTGTGGTATTGAACCGAACGACAGCAAAGTTGCCCACCAATATCCGTGTTCGTAACCATTACCCTTTCTGTGTTCACTCTTGGCTCCTTATTTTTCTCAGACTGGTGGTTAATTTATAGTTATTTCCATCATGATATTGTGACTTGATGTCTGGCGTTATCTTTTGTACGCGCCGAACTCTCCATGTAGTTGTAGGTAGTGTTGATTTTATCTTTGCCCGCATTTGTCCGAAATCTCACGAATGGCCATTGCACAAGCACCGAAAATATCGTTTCGGCCAATGATGAAATTTTTGCAAACGAATCGCCTACTTCGGCTCGCAGGCGAATAACTACTCAAACCACCCTTGCTACGCGAACCAATTTTTCAATATTTCGTTGATTCCAGCTTAATGCGCTATGTTCGTGGCCACAGTTCAAATTCATATGGCTTGACTCATTTCATAATTTCATGCAAATCGTTATATCTTACATTGTTCTTTGCTTTCGGTATCTCATGTATATCAGGCGTCATCTGCGTCATCATCCTCGACCACAGCGGATACCACAACTAATGCGTCTGGTTCCACAGCCGGATCCGTGGTCGTCAATCTCCCAGCTGGGTTCCGATTAGTATCAATGAATTCCAACCCGACTGCAACCACCTCATCCACAGCCACTGGGGCTAATGGTACCCCAATACGCGTAGTTGGCAATAATCTGATCCGGCCTCTGGCTACTGTTACCACCACTGCATCCGGCACAGCTACGGCTTCTGTTACCGTGACTGGATCAAACACCGTTCGATTAGTTTTACAACCAAGCTCAATCAGCTCCACAAGCTCTAATGGCGTTCAGAACATCACCGTAGTTCCCGTATCCGGACAACAAGGTATGCAGATTAGTTCTTATTTTGTTGTTTTTTACGGCAACTGTGGTATTGTGATATACAATTGACTTTTTTTATTTTGACGGTTTATTTCAGCTGAAAGTGGTTCTCAAGTCATTAGCACATGCGGTTCGACAACCACAAGTGCCACAATCTCGAGTGAGTCCGGGGATACAGGATCCAACTCAACTTCACGTTATCAACCAGCTATTTTACGCCGTACGCTCACGGGAGCCCCTTCCGGGGAACTTAAATCTGGAGAATTTCGCCTGTTTACTATTCCGCAAACTCAATCTATTGCCAGCTTAGTAGCTACAAATACGGCTAGGAAAATGGCTGCGGGTGAGTCGTAGTAAAGAAATACTTCTCAGTAAGATTGCTGACCATTCACTGGATATTTTTGTATTTTTCGTTTCATTACATTCAGTGCTATCTTATCTGCATACTGATTGAAGTTTGTAAATAAAACATTTGCACCCGATCGAGTCCCTTTCCATTTTGGATTGTATAAATCATTTACGCTTCCTTTATCACACACATCATCGTGTGCTGAACAGCAGACGGATAAATCCCGCAGTCAAAACGGCTTGCTGGTTGCTCCTGGGAACCGGCTATCTAAACCTCGGGAGTAGTCAATCACAATGCCTCACAAGCATCGGCGTGGTATTAAGCCGAACGATCAGCTTATGCGGATCTACCACGAGAAACAACACCTACCTCAATCTTTCCCTGTTTCTGCCGTATGTTCGGTTAACATTATTTCGAGATAAAGTGATAAAACCGGCTCTTTCGGTTCCGATTGACAATACTCTTTTCTGTTTGGGATGTGTATCGGCGGAGATGGTATTTTAGTGCATGTGCTATGCTACTTTCCCAGATGGGGTAATAGCCGACCAGAGGCAACTTCGTACAACGCGGGGTTTAGCTCTGAGTTTCAACTGCAACAAAGAGATTTAGTATGTCTGTTTTTACTCAACCGCGCTCAAAACCCTTGTGCGAGTAGCACAATTCGCGAATTCAGTCCTGCCTCGATTCATGATATAAATCGCTGCTGAAAATGTCAAGCTGAACATTTCGAATCTCTGTTCAACTGGCCACCTACAGCAATCTTCACATCAATTGTGGGTAGCATTTGAGTAGTGATCAAGTGCGCTAACGAATG